GGAGTGAAGGCTCCCAGAATACGAACCAAGAACCTTGTTTCTATCATATTTTGTGAAGCTGTTGCTATTTTTGGGATTATCATGGCTTTCGTCTTCCACGCTAAGGTTGGGGTAAGTTGCACCATGAGAAATAAGAAACAATAGAATGGGACAGAAAATCGTTTCTTACAACTCTCCCAACTATTTTCGCTTCTATAAATTCGAGGTTGGTTCGTGATTGTGGCATGCCCATATCTTTCACTTAAGTTCAAGTTGCATAGTTCAGCCGATGAAATTGTAATCGGTCAGCAGGCAGAGTGGCGAGAGAGGCAGAAAGACCTCGCTACCTGCTGCCTCGTTCGGCCAGTGGTGATAGGGTAGTCATCTTTTGAGGAAGAAAACAACCAGCGGTGGCAGAGTCGCGGCTGGGTCAGGGTGCGGCGCCATTGCTGAGATAATCGCAACATATTTGACCGCGAGGGGGGGGGGTGAGGGGTCGTAGGCGCAAGGCCCTTTCTAAAGTGGGAGTGCAGCAATACTCAGATGTCGTACAGCTTCAATGATGAAAGACTTATTCATGTGAAGAACACCTGAAGAGACACCTGAAGACAGAAGCAACCTGCCAGCGCAGAAGTGGGGAACGGGCGATGACAGGAAATACGATGGCCGCCCACAACGACGTCATGAATTAATAAACAGATGAAAATACACTTCCGGACCTTTCTGATCGCAGGAGCACATCTGCTTGCACGGAGGAAGCCCTATCTAGAAGTTGCACCTTCCCAACACTCTGCGTGGGAGCCCTATGCATGGCGCATTACAGAGGTGATGCCAATTGGTGCCGATTGGACTATTTCATGATACCCTCGGCGAAAATATGTCTCTAAAAGTATGCCAAAGTCTTTCAACTGCGAGCGGAATGGCGTTGGAGGGGTAGGCTTTTTCATGTCGTCCGGAAGACGTAACAGGAGCATCACAACTGGGGGACTTTTTTTCGAATAGCAGACTTAGGAATAATGTGGAAATCTTGTTAGAAAGTAGGAATTTTTGAAACTCTCGCGCTGTTTTCGGTTCCACGAATGACTTTGTATGAAGATTGTTATAGCTGTCCTAACGGTGACCCTAAAACGGTGAACGGCGAGAACGGGAAAATTTCCTTGAAATGAGGATTTTCAGAATCGCTTAAACGTACGAATGTCAGCCTAATGTTTTACAGCCCTGTCCCCCCTTTTCAGGAGCTCCACTCTCAAGGAAGGGGTGTTCAAGCGAAGGGTACCTAAGTGCTTGGCCTGGAATTGAATTCTTTCGTGATATAGCTCGCTCCAGTGCCACGGCACAAAGTGTGCTCTGGGATTGTGTGACATCTAATCCTTTCTATGCGGCGAGAGTGCAAATCTCCCCTAGCTGTCGGTACTCTCTCGCTCTCTCTCACTCGGATCGACTGGACGATAATCGCTGGTTTCTTTTTCAAAGTTACTGGTGACTCACTAGTGGGAACGTAGGGTACTACAGTGAATTACTAGTGACTTTGGGAGGTCAAAGAAAGGATTGAGAGTATTGGCCTTATATATGTGATGCTTCTGTGCCGTAGAGGTTTGTTATGATGGAACAGTTTATTAGGGCCGACGTTTCGAACAAATCGTCGTTATCAAGGCCTGAAAGTGGTATCATTGTGCAAATCTACCACTCAGTCCGATCACACGTTGGCTTTGGCCCGTGCGACGATTTTCAGGCATACATCTGAGACGCAGAATAACCATTATCACTCACCCACTACTGTTCCACCAGCGCCGAGTTCCTATATATCAACCACGCGACAACCGACCACTGGAGCAAGTGAGACGTTCTGCATGATGCTTCGGATGCGTATATGCAGAAGAGTGGTAACTCACAGCTCACATAGTGATATGAATGGAAGGAATTCAGTATTGGCACTATTTACCCTTTACTGCCCCAACCATCCAGAATTGAGCCATTTCTGACCGACTTTTTCTCCGTGGACAGATTTGGCTCAAATGTTGTCTGGTATTTTGACCTCCTGAATACGAATATGACATTCGCTTAGCCCGAAACCTCCTGGCGCCCGCGCCACAGGCGCCGGTGATCTGGGGTATTTTGGCGCCAGCACCTGTAGCGCGGGCGGCAGGAGGTTTCAGGCCGAGCGGATGTGATATTCGTGTTCAGGAGGTCAGACTACCTGAGAACAAGTTTTCAGCGAATTTGGTGATTTAGGTATTTTGGCGCCGGCGCCTGTGGCGCGGGCGCCAGGAGGTTTCGTGCCTAGCGGATGTGATATTCATGTTCAGGAGGTCAAACTACCCCAGGGTATAAACTTTCAGCCAATTCTGCCAAGGCAGAAAAAAGTCGGTCACAAAAGTGCACTCCCATAATTTTTATTTCCTTTTGTTCATGCAAGTCGGATCTTTTGCATGAACAAAAACGTGTCCACCCGAATCTCTCGTGCAGAAAACAGTGTTTTCTATCGACACGAGCTCATCGTGAACTCGTCAAACATTTCTTTAGCACCTTCTTGGACTGCCCAGAAGCTCAGCGGAAAAAAACTAGAAAAAAAATTACTTTTTTGAGTTCACATGATTTTTGAGTTCTTCTTTTCTCTCACGTGTGTTCACTTAGTTATCCACGTGGAGTGTTTCAAATGACCGTGATGACTTCCCTTGGCCAAGTGATTACACTGTCCTTGGTGTAGAAGTGTGCTGATATCTAACGCTATCTTCGTTTTCTATTGAATAGCTTAGCCTTCACCAATTTTCTCAATATCACCCTGCTCACGTTGAAAGCAGGCTGACCGTTCTTCAAGTTGGTGAGTCACTCTGCGTGCCTGACCGCAGCGTGCTCTCCCGTCTGGTGCCTGGCCTCGAGAGCGAGACGCAGAGAAAAAAACGGATTAGTTGTCCTAGACCGTGCTCTAGCTCTAACTGCGACATTGGACGGCCGCGAACAACTAATATTCGAGTGCTGGCACTTTCATTTCCCGTAGTTTCTTTATTTTTTGTGTCTTGCTATGCTTCATTTACAGTTTATTATTTTAAATATTCATTTATGGTTTATTATGGCTCATTTTCTTCATGTTCCTTACATTTATCTCTCACGCCTTTTTTGTTGTTTATTTTACTTCCGTTTTTTCATTGTTTGTTTGTTCGCTGCTAATCTGGTCCGCTGCTACCAGATTAGCAGCGGACAGGGAAGGGGATCGAATCGATACCCTTTTAGAGAGGGGAGAGGAGTTCGCATTCAGCAGAAATTCATCACAACGCGATGGCGTGCCCTGGGTTGGACTCATTCTACCCTTCATGGAACCGCCCCGCCTGATTGCGGCGTTCTCATCTGTACCCAGAAAACACGGGTGTTACTCAAGTGACATACCATTGGGCAGTTTCAAACCAAACTGAACTTCTCGAATAAATCCCCTGCCCCTTAGAATGGGCAGTTCAACCAGACTACAGTAGGTATGTCTGCTGCAAGCCTCGCCCCAACTCCCGGGCCCACATTTCAGCACGGTCATGGTTGTCTATGGACAACCATGACTAGACCATGACTATGACTATGACTCGTTCCATAGACTTGTTCCTCTGACTTTTTTCAATACTGCTATTCCGTGCATACACTCTGACTGAAAATAATTGGTACCGACACGGATCCTGCCCACTGTTTAATGGAGTTATTGCGATTCTAGAATTCTTATAACTTTTCTCGGCGGAGTTCTTTTCACATTCATCCTGCACAAAACAGAGGTACTCATAGATTAAAAAAAACCAGGTGAAGTTAGTTCCGAGTTTTCAACGAGGCAACAATCTACCAGCCACTCCTGCCGATCTGGATCAGTTTCAAAAGTGCGCGTAGCTTCTGCGAACTGGGCGCGGCTTCTAATGGTGGGCGGAGCCACTTGTTACAGCCTGGAAAGGCGAAAATTTTAAAGAAAGGAATAAACTTCCAGGAAAAGACATAAAAGGGGGCGTGGCCGGAGGAGGAGGCGTTTTATGTGCCAGTGCACAGATGCATATCTATGACCGCATTTGTTTTGGAAGGATGAATTTGGATGGAACGACGTCGTGAAATGTTATAAAACGTAAGTGTAAGGGACGGGTCTGGAAACGCGATAACTTCATTGTAAGTGGGCAGAATCGTATGCGTATCAGTATTACTCTTTTTCACTTTGAGTGTGTGTACGGAATAGCAAAAGTACAATATTCAGAAGAACAGAAGTCACAAAATGAATTTGGAAAAAACACGCGCGAAAGTGGGCAGGGCGTGAAGGGGTGTGGGCACGGGCTTGCAGCAGTACCTAAGGCTGCGTTTATACTTTGCGGCAGCGTAGCGTAGCGCTTCCAGCGTACGCCAGCGGCAGTGCCGAAGAGAGGATGCATATCGATCTAGCTTCACCAGCGTCACCAGCGGCACGCTGGCGTAGCGAGGGCACGGGAAGCATAGCTATCGATCTAGCTTCACCAGCGTTTCTCGAGCGTTTCTCCAGCGGCACCAGCGTTTTGCTAGCGCTTGCAGCGGCAGGGAGTAGAGACTATGTGGCCGTGAGAGACGCGGAATCGACGTGTATTGTAGAGACCATGTGGCCGTCGGAGACGCAGAAGCGATGTGCATTGTAGAGACTATGTGGCCGTCGGAGACGCAGAAGCGATGTGCATTGTAGAGACTATGTGGCCGTCGGAGACGCAGAAGCGATGTGCATTGTAGAGACTAAGGGCGAGTGAGAGACGCGCAATCGATGTGTTTTGTACCCTCCAGCTCTCCCATAGTCTCTACTCCCCTGCCGCTGCAAACGCTAGCAAAACGCTGGTGAAACGCTGGCGTACGCTGCGCTACGCTACGCTACGCTGCCGCAAAGTATAAACGCAGCCTAATGTGGTCTAGTTATCAACCGCCAGTGTAAGGAGTGCGTCCATTAGATCTAAAAAGTGTACACTTTTGAATCGGAATCGGAAGTTCCAAGTGCGCGTTCGATTTGGTTCGAAAATTGTCCGATTTGGTTTGGAGAGTGTGAAGGTTTCATAAAAGAAAAATGGTACACATCAGGACGCTGATCACTAAAGAGTCGCGACGAAATAGGCATTGCAAGCGCGGTAGCGTACGCTGCGCTCGCACCACCCCCCCCCCATCCACCCGATTCTGCAGTGCTGTAGCGCACCAACTTCCTCGACTTTTCTGGTCTCTCAAGTCGATTTTCTGCCTGCTTCTGTCTAGCCCACAGGCTAGGAAATATGTTAATGCGCGCGATTCCGCGACCCGGAATTGACGCTTTATGAATCGATGGTTCTGATGTCGTGCAGCACATGAAATCCTGCTTTCAAGCAGTCCACATCGTTGTTGTACGGGACGCAACAGAGGTGGTCTTCCGCCATGAGAAAAGGAAGTCACACTAGAGGCGGATTTTGGAAGGAGGGAGAGGTGGTATTCAGCACAAGCTTTCCACACGGTAATGTGCGCGACTTCTGGAGCCTCTTTCACCTCCACTAGGGACTATTGCTACACCCTCCCCTCATCACTTCAATTTACAATATACATGGCAATGATTCAGCATCTCTAGGAGAGGCTACAGCTTCCTCTCGAGCTCATTCCGATCTGGAAAGATCATACAAAACGGGCATGTTCCCTCACTACCAGAAATTGTACCATGTAATTGGAAGCGCTGATGAATTTCAGGACTTTGAACGTGAGGGGCTTGATCTATCTAAGCCAAGCGAGAAAGCTATTCTTGCTCGTAACGTTGCTTCTGGTTATATGATATTCGGTGGCGGCCTAACTGTCGGTTTCAGCAATCTGATGTGTGGTCTGGCTGTTGGTATGTATGGGCCTTATTTCACTTTTGGCGCTACGCAACTATTACTACTCCAATCTCGACAATTGTCTTCGCAGAACTCTTACAAGGGAGGTCGTTCAGGGTGTGCCCCGCTTTTTCGAAACGGTTTATTGCACTTTGTAGGGCCTTGCCCATGAACCATAAAAGTGGGCTTCGTTTTGGCTGAGCGGCCCCTGGAATGCCAAAAAAGGAGCGAAAAAGAAACCTATGGAAACTGATTGTTTTTGAGCCTCTACGAGCTGTAAACCGCTTGAAACTTTGACCAGTTGCTGAATGGAGGGACCCTATAAAGGTACTACCGGAAGTGGATAGCGCGAAAGATTCTCAAGCGGGCAGTTGGGGTGGGGTTGGTGGTTCGACCCCCCTCGGCGTGAGTTTTTGCATTTTTTTGTTTTGCTCGCGTTCAAATATGTCTGTGCGTGAGTATGCGTTCGATAACTGCCATTTATGGGCACATTTTAAATGGGAACACTCCATGAATCAGTGCTATTCAATTATTACAGGTTTTACATACCATTAAGCAAGACCGTAATTGAAAGTTGACCTTTATAGGTCAGACCATACCCGAATCACGAATGTGCAACTTATTTATAGCTACGGTGCCATTTATCGCTAATATGGAGTGAAATGTTTCTCCCAATGAATGCATTTGCTACAGACAATTAAGGGATGTGTAGCGCTACCAGGCGCCAAAATACGTCGCCGAAAATAAGTGTGAAAAACATGATCAGGGCCATCGATTCTTTCGGTCGTAAACAATCTTTCGGCCAAAAAATTTTTTTCGACTTTTTTGGGTGTGTGCGTTGGGTTGTGCCCGACAGTCTTTCTATAGAAGTCTACAGTGCCTCGCCATAGGGACCCCCTATTTTATTAATATCCAAAGATAAAAGTAACAATGCCGATGAAATTCATGCAAAGAGGAAGGAAAGGGAGGCATTCCACCAGGTTTGCTGTCCTGCCCGGCGGCCTGCTACGTCGTCGTTCCATCATCGTCTTTACGAAGATGGGATACTCCGGTCACCACTGCCGACCAAATGGTCCACCAAAACCCAAAAAATCGAAAAAAATTTTTGGCTGGAAGTTCGTCCATAAGGGTAATCGATGGTCCTGATTACGATTTTGACACTTATTTTCGACGTCGACGCAATTTGGCGCCAGTATAGCGCTTAACGTCCCTCATATGGGGGTACATAGACGTACCTTTCGCTCCTTTTTTGGCGTTCCTGGGGCCGCTCAGCCAAAACGAAGCCCACTTTTATGGTTCATGGGCAAGGCCCTACAAAGTGCAATAAACCGTTTCGAAAAAGCGGGGCACATCCTGACCTTCCTGGTTAGATACAGGGGTTATTCTGTGCCCTGGTCGCGAACATGGCCTAATGTCATAGTCGTGTAAAGCTCTGCTGAGGTTGAGCTAGTAAGGAGGGTAATGCCGCCCAAGCTCAGCCTTACATGGGTGTTCCAACAGGTCCCATTGGGAATGAGATGTGTAGATGGGCAGTCCCGAGCCGCTGAACCCAATTCTACCCTAGGAATTCGTGAGACTATTCTCTGAAGGGCCTTGCGGCCAATCATTCGCTTCTGTGTTCAGAACGATAAGGGAGGCGGCCCGTGGGCTGGTAGAGCATATGAAGATGGAGAGTAGCAGACTGCTGGTAGAGAGGATGGGGAAGTAGGAGAGTAACTGTCTGCACCCTCTTACTTCCCCATACTCTCCACTCCTGGACGCTACTAGACGCTGCCTACACTTCCCTAACCCTGGTTCGTAACTCCAGAGAGTCATTCTCAGAGAATCGTTGTGAATACCGAGTGCAGAATTGAGTTCAGCGGCTCAAGACATGTTCATTTATGCGCATCTCACTGCCAATGGCCGGGTCGACCTGTTTGAGTTTCCTAGTCAGCAGAACGCGGTGATTAGAACGTAGGTTAGCCAGCGTTCAGGCTTCGCGGCGGCAGCGTTTCGGTCGCTCGATTGATGCAGTTGAAAGCATGCGCATCGATGACGTCACT